AAGGCCCAAATGGCTGCGTCCGCATGCCGCCGCCGCCCCATTTTTTGGCACACCCCCTCACACGTTTCGTGGCCCCATAGGGAGCTCCATCTAAGGCCCAAATGGCTGCGTCCGCATGCCGCCGCCGCCCAATTTTGGCACACACCCCTCACACGTTTCGTGGCACCATAGGGAGCTCCATCCAAGGCCCATATGGCTGCGTCCGCATGCCGCCGCCACCCCAATTTTGGCACACCCCTCACACGTTTCGTGGCCCCATAGGGAGCTCCATCTAAGGCCCAAATGGCTGCGTCCGCATGCCGCCGCCACCCCATTTTTGGCACACCCCTCACACGTTTCGTGGCCCCATGGGGAGCTCCACCGAAGGCCCAAATGGCTGCGTCCGCATGCCGCCGCCGCCCAATTTTGGCACACCCCTCACACGCTTCGTGGCCCCATAGGGAGCTCCATCTAAGGCCCAAATGGCTGCGTCCGCATGCCGCCGCCGCCCCATATTTGGCACACCCCTTACACGTTTCGTGGCCCCATGGGGAGCTCCACCGAAGGCCCAAATGGCTGCGGCCCAGGCGTGATCCTGGACTGCGGCCGCCACGAGGTCGGGAACGGCAAGAAGGAGGACGACGACTGGTGGCTGGAGCTCTACGTGCTGCTCTCGCGCGCCACGCGCCACGAGGATCTCCTGCTCATGCGGGCGCCGCTCATCGAGTTCTTCCTGGCAGGGCCGCCGGAGGGCTTGCGGAAGCAGCTGGAGCAGTTTGCAGCGCGCACGAAGCGGTGCAGGAGGGAGGCGACGGCCCTCGCCAGAGAGCTGGGCTTCAGCGAGTTCATCCGCGAGGCCTGACCTGGGGAGCGGCCCCGCACGAGCCAGCGGCGCGCGCTGGTTGTCGCTGACGCTTGGATGACCCCAGCTCGTCGTCAGGATTTCTCGCCAGAGGATGACCGGCGCCTGTCGGGGGATTCCACCCAGATCGCGCCATTTTCGCACGCCTCGCCACGCAGTACGGGGGTGCTATCCGTCGACTCAGAGTCGCAGTGGACAACCCCCGCGCGTCGATGGGATTCCCTCGGGATGACCAGACCGCGTCGGCGAGGACTTCCCAGGCACTTTCGCGCGGCGCCGCCTGCGCGCTGCGTTCTGCGTGGCTCGCTGTCGGTCTGGAGGCAAAAACGTCCCCCCTCGTCTCTCGCCCCTCCTGCTTCCCACCGCTTCTTGACCGCGCGCTTCCCCGTCTCGTTTCTGCCGCTGCTGACCTGCCTTCGACATCTACACGGTGTCTCCGTCACCTCTTCCTGCGTGCCCAGTAACAGGTCTCATGATGCGATGATGATACTGATGTGTTGGCTCGCCCCAGTGAGCTCTCCTCCTCCGCCCGCCACCTCCTGCCCGCGCTGCCCTGTGCCTCGTCCATGCAGTGGCGCGGTGCCTATGAGAAGAGGGGCCTAGTTTGCGTGCCCCCTCCTTCGTCTCATATCCGTGCGGTACTCGCAGCTGCGCATGGTTGGGCCCTTCGCCAGGCTAATTTTTGGATTCAGGCAAGTTTACTTGCATGGCGTTCGCCCCCCCCCCCCCCCCCCCTCGCCCCTCTTCAATCCAATACTAGCGTGCAAGTGCCTTTCGACTTGCGTGATTTCCGCGCCCCCCCCCCCGGGCTTGCTTCTGGCTCAGCCCCTCCCCTCCGTCCATGCAAGTAAACTTGCCAGAGTCTAAAAAAAACAGGCTCAAACCAACCAGGGGCGGTGATGAATTCCTGGAGGGCGGAGGCACCGACCCCCGATCGCCTGTTGATCGCCGAGAGGGGCCCGATGGCCCACCCCGCCCAGCAGCCTGTGGGTTCGCCATCGGGGGCCTCTCGTCGATCTATCGGCGGTGCGTCGCCGAGTCCGGGTCGATGTTCCCCCCCGCCCCCCCCCGCCCAGAGATCCGACGTCGCGATGTGTCACTGAACGTGGGCTTCCGTAGGTCTGGACCCCTCCCTGGGGACCCGCCCTTCGTCCCGAGTCGTCCTTTGACGGTCCCAGGGCCTGTTCAGAGGCCCCCGAGGCCGAAAATTGCAAATCCTCCGCTTCGATGTCCCGAGTGCGTTGGAGGTCTGGGGCCCTTCCTCCCCCCCTTGACCCTCGAGACGGAGCTGGGCCTGGGCCCCCTGAGCCAGTCCCCCTGCCCCCAGACATCCAACGATCTGGTGTTTTAACCCTCACCCACAAGGTCCGATCCTTTGGGGGTACGATGCGGTGATGGCGCTCGTTAAGGAACGTGCCCAGGAGGCTTCAGACCCTGGAGGGTTCCTTATCTGATGAGGGCGGTGGTGATACCCATGGCTAGTCCACGATTGCTTCCCATTGGCTTCCAGACAGACCCTGGATTCCTTATCTAGGGGTTCCTCGTTCAATGCCCCCACCGTCCGTAGCCATTTTGGCTCAAGGCAATGAACCGTCCCGACGACCGCGAGTCTTTCGGGGCGACTATGCGCGAGGGAGGTTCTGCTTTGAGGCTACCTTCCTTCCCAACAAGTGTGAGCTGCCACTGCAGCGCCCTGGACCTGCGGGTCACGGCTTCTTCTGTGTCGGCGGGTCCGCCCCCGTCGGCACCTGCCTGCTGCACGCCCGCGGCTGAGCAGCGCGCCCGCCCGTTCCGGCGATGGGGCCGAAGGCCGAGCCTGGCTTCGTCGTGTGCACGGGCTGCCGTTTCCGCTGGAACTTCCGCAGGAATGCGAAGTGCTGGCTGCGCGGGATCGGGCTGGAGCTGGCGCCCTCGAAGCCTTCGCCCCGCGTCGGGGTCTGGGCGGACGACGGCGGCGGCGGCTCCCAACCCGCACTGCGAGGAGGCGGCAGCGGAGGCCCACCGAAGAATGGCGCCAAGGGCGGCAAGGGCGGCAAGGGCCGTGGAGGAGCCTCCCGTGGCGGCGGCGGTGGTGCAGCCTCCCGCGGCGGCGGCGGGGGCGCGGGTGGCCGTGGCGGAGGCGCCTTCCCGAAGGCTCCCTGGTCGGCCCCCCCCGAGAGCGAGCTCGAAGCGCTCCTCGCCTGCGGGGACCCCGCCATCGCGGCCAGGCTGCAGGAGGCAGTCCGTGACGCGCGGGGCTGCGTCGCGCCCGCGGTCGCCCCAGCTCCGAAGCCGCTCGAGCAGAGGCTGCAGTCGGCCACGGCGAAGCGGATCCACCTCCAGCGCCAGCTCGACGAGGCGGCGGACGCGCTCGTGGCGGCGGAGGACCACCTCGCTCTGTGCCGAGGCTGGCGCGACGAGGCGGCGGTCAACCTCGCAGAGGCCAAAGAGGAGGAGAACGCCCTCCTCCGCCAGCGAGCCCAAGCGGCTGGTGTCGTGGGCGCCCAGCCCGATGGAGCGAGGCAGCTCACCTTCAACTTCGACGCGGAGTCATTCGAGAACTTCGCGGAGCTGGAGGAGGAGGCGCAGGCCACCCTCAGGCGCCTCTGTGACGAGGGGCTCCAGATCATGCAGGGGGCGCAGGCTACGTTCGAGCGCAACTGCCAGGAGCACCAGCAGCGCATCAAGCGCCAGATCGAGGAGGAGGTGGCCAAGAAGCGCAAGCGCACCGAGGAGGGGCCTGCAGCAGCCGTGGCCGCTGGCACCCCCGTGCGGGGCGCGGCCGCCCCGCCGCAGCCAGCAGGACAGGCGGCCGCCCCTGCTGCTGCCGCCGCCCCAGCAGCAGGCGCTGCGCCTGGTGCAGGGCCCCCCCCCAGCGGCCGCCGTGGAGAGCCGAGCGGCAGACGAGGCGGCCCGACAGCGCGCTGCCGACCAAAAGGCTGCTGCGGCGGCCCCTCCACCTGCTGCTGGCGCTGCTGCTGGCAGCGGCCAGGCCCGCGGGTAGCGCCCTGCTGCCAGGCGGCGGCCCCGTTAGCGCGACGCCGCCCGTCCCAGACGGGGCTGAGGAGGCAGAGGCGGCGGCGCCCAGCCGCCCCGCGGCGAAGGTGGCGCCGAGCGGCGGCATGCACGCCTACCTGGCGGCCAACGTCGAGGCCGACGCTGGGGAAGGGCTTCCCTTCACTGGGCCGCTGCTGCGCCAGGGCCGACGCTCCGACGATGCGCGCCATGGTTCCAAGTTCAAGGCGCTCAGTAGCAGGACAGAGCCAAGCGCTGCGGCGGACTTGGATGGGCCCGACCGAAGGACTGGCAGTCCTCAGCCCAGCCAGGGGCCCATACGGAATAGTGGGTACCCAATTCAAGTTGGCGAGGCTAAGGGCGAGGGCGTGAGACCCCCTGAGGTTCGGAGCCCCAAGGCGGCGGGCAGCCGCCCGCCTGGCGGCCGCGCGGGCGCCGCGGCAGCCGCGAAGCCTGCAGCCCAGCCCCAGCCAGGGCGACCGCAGGCCAAGCCCCTCCAGCTGGCCAAGCTGCAGCGCACGGAGGCTGTCAGGAAGCTTAGCCCCCTCACCAAGTGCTGGCGCTGCCTCGGGAGGATCGCCAGGCAGCTCAGTGCGGCTGCTGCCGTCAGCTCACCCCCTGAGGGGCACGGGGGCTACATGAAGCACCTGGTGCAGGTGGCCAAGAGCTTGGGGCCCAAGTTCGAGCAGGCGGGCTGCTCCATGTTGGAAGGCACTAAGCTGGACTCGCTGACTGTGGTGATCCAAGAGCCCTCTGTGCAAGGGCAGGCCTTCCTGCAGATGATCGAGAGCGCGGCGGCGAGACTCTGCAAAGAAGAAGCCAAGGCGGCCAGGCTGCGCTGGATGGACTACGTGGACGTGGCCTCGACGAAAGGGGCGAACGGAGCCCACGATGTCATACAGGACCGCGATCAGGTGCTGGACTCGGTGATCGCGCACTGCCCCGACTGGCTGACGCTCCCCGTTGTAGCCCAGCAAGCCCAGAACCAGATCCGCATAGAGTGGAAGGCCCTCTGGAAAGGAGCCGATAGGGAGCACAGGACCAGACCAGCCGTTTGGATCTGCTCCATGGTGCTGCCCCCGTTCACGGTGGGCGACAGCCTCGAGGCGGCGAAGTCGCTCCCGAAGCAGACCGCTCTGGGCTGGGATGCGTTCCACCCGCGGCTGGTCCTCTCCCAGGGCAGGCCCTTCGCCACTATGATGGCAGAGGTACGCACGGCTTGGGTGTTGCAGCCGCAGCCCACGGCCCTCTTCACCACGGTGTTCCTCTTCCTGGGGAAGCCAGACGGAGGCCGCCGCCCGATCGGCCTCATGGGCAAGTGGTGGCGCATCTGGCGCAGGGTGCGCCGCCGCTACGGTGTCAAGTGGGAGAAGGACCACCAGCCCACTTTGGTCTGGGGCAAGAATGCGATGAGCTGTGACATGGCGGTGTACCCACACAACCTGGGGCTCGCGCTCGCCCGCCAGCTTGGCTTTGGGGCAGCCTCAGTCTATCTCGACGGCAAGTTCTACGCGCGGACCGACCGCGACCGTTTCAAGCGAACTGCCGAGTTGGTGAGCTGGATGGGCCACCGCTACGAGGAGCTCTTCTGCCAGGACCTCTTCGTCGGCGCCCAGTACCAGGTGCAGAGGCCGCGCTGTGACCCTGGCGGGGCGCGCCGCTCGCGCGGCTGGGACGCGGGCGCACTCGTGGTGCCCGCGGGCACCCTCGTCTTCACGGACGGCTCCTGCGTCAACAACGACCTGATGATCAGGAGCGCGGTCTGGTCGGTGGCGGTTCTCACGACCGTTGGCGAGTGGGTGGTGCAGGCGAGGGGTGCGGCGCCGTCTGCCCTGAAGTTCACCCCCTCCCGTTCGCGGGCGGCCATCGAGCGGGGCGACCTCATGGAGGTGGAGCTCTTCGGCAACCGCCTCGTGGGCCAGCTCGCGAAGGCGGGCGCGGTGATGCGCGCCATCGCCGACGAGGAGGCCCGCCTGCTCCAGGGCTGCCAGGCCCGCACCCGCCTCGCGGCGCGCTTCGCCGCCGAGTTCGAGGTCCAGGACACGGAGTCGGGCTTGCGGGACCTCACCCCCTACATTGCGGCGGAGCTCGACGGCGAGGCCGACCCCCTGTTCGCCGCCGCGGCGGAGCCCGCCCCTGGGACAGGTGGATTCAGCCCACCGAAGTCGCAGTCCCAGGGGCGCGGCCAGTTCGGGAAGAAGCACGACGTGGAGGTGCGCGCGGCTGGCATCGCGGAGCTGGACGCGCTGGTTGGCTGCTCCTGACGGCGCGGCGCTGGTGCGCGGCAGCGGCATCTCGGTACCCATCGAGCTCCCCGAGGGCCGCGAGGCAGCCGCCGCTGTCGGGCACGCCGCTGGCGGAGGCCCTGGGCAGCCGCCGCGGCCTGCAGACAGCAGCCTGCCGCCCCCAGCTGCCCCCTTGGTGCGCCGCCCGCGGCAGGTTCGCCAGGCGCCACGCGACGCGGAGCACGTCGCGCTGTATGGCGATGGCAACGTGAAGGAGATCGACGCGGAGCTTTGCGGTGGCTACGCCGAGGCGCAGGCCTCGGCGGCTGATGGCGGCCCCCACCTCGCCACGGCGGCGGCCCTGGCAGCGGTGGCGGCTGCTGGCGCCTCCTGCTCGCGCCCTTCGCCCATGAGGCGCCGCCCCGCCTCGGCCGAGTCGCCCGCGGATGCCCTGCGGCGTGTCGCCCAGCGCAGGGCGCAGGTGCAGCCGAGGCGCCGCGAGGCCTCAGCCCCCGCGCCCTGCCCGCGCCTGGCGGCGGCGGAGGCGGCGAGCAGCGGACCAGCCACTGCGGAGGCGGCTGATGCAGCCCGTCCAGCGGGATGGAGGGTCAACGGCCACCTCCTCGTGGAGTCGAGAGTCGAAGGAGACGACTCCGAGCCCTTCTTGGTCTGCGCCGCTTGCTGGATGTACTGCCGCCTCCCCAGGTACGCGCACCGCGGCCTGGGCAAGCAGTGCGGGGCCAGCGCGGCGGCTGGGCAGCCCAAGTGCAAGAAGGGATCCAGAGCCCAGGCGCGGTCGGACTTCGCTCGCGGCATCCTGCCAGCGTCGAAGGAGCCGATCGCGCCGCTGGCTTCGCCAACGGAGTGCACGCGCCGGCGCTGGGCGGCGGCGCTCCAGGCCAGGCAGGGCCGCGGCGCGGAGGGGCAGGCGCTCGTGGCAACGCCCGTGCCAGCGCAGCGGCTGCCAGCAGCCGCCCAGCCCCCTCCGCCTGCGGCTGGCGCTGGGAGCCAGGCGGCAGCGCCGCCGAGCGCCGCGGCTACGCGGCGGCTGGCCGCGGCGGCCCCGTGGGAGGAGGCCGCCGAGCCGCGGCGGCCCCGCCCAGGGCTCGAGGGTGCACGTGGAGCCCACGGCTTCGCGGACGCAGCGGCGGCCCGCGAGCGCGGGCGAGCCGCGACGGCAGCGGCCGCCCGCGCAGGCCGCGCGGGGACGCGCGCCGCGGGCTGAGGCGGCCTCGGCAGGCGGCTGTAAGCGCCCGCGCGGCCCTCCGCCTCTCCGCCTTGAATTTATGCAAGAATCCGCCGAGCCCGCTCGGCGCCCACACAGATAAAAAAAAAAAAATGTCCCCACCGTAGTTTGTCCATCCGGATGCAGTGTTGACAGCCCCGGGGCCTGAGAACAGGCTCCAGAGGCCAAGCTCGAGATTGCGTCACTCTGGCAGGGCACCGCAACAGCCGCAAAGGTGAAGAGGCGGGTCGAGGACGAGGGTCAGAGCACGGCCAGGTGCACCCCGGTGTGTGCTTTTTGGCCAGGGGTCGTGGCCGTCCGGGCAACCGGTATGGCCAGTTCCGAGGCGAGAGCACGGCTCCTCAATATACATTCCGAGGAGGCCTCGGGCGTAAGCGTTGCCGGCACAGGGCGGGTGCGGGCTCCCCGACCTTCCCCCATGGGGGGGCTCTTCTGCGGCCCTCTCGTTTGGCAGTCTTCGAGCTCTCCTTCGAAACGCATCCAGTCCCTGGAGATCTGGGCCCCTTCTGGCGAGGGCCTCAAGATGTCGAACCGTGAGGGGGTGCCGTCCGCCATGCGATTCGATCCACGACGCCAGGATGCCAGGGCCCCCCCCCAACGTCTGCCCTCGAGAGGGAGCTGGGCCTGGGCCCCCTGCGCATTCAGCCGCGGGGCCCAGCCGACGCGGCGGAGGGGAGCCTCTGCCTGCGGAGCCGGGGGCTGGCCGCGTGCGTGCAGGAGGCGCCGAGGCCGGCCGCGGGCGGCGGCGAGGGCTCTTGGCACAGCCCCGCGATCCTGGTGCTCCGCATGGGAGACGTCGATATCGATGCCCCTTCCATCCTTTATGACGCTGCTCGGGTTTCATGCTGGAGCACGCAGCGTTTCTCACTTTCCTCCTCCTCCTCCTCCTCCTCCTCCTCCTGCTTCTCCTCCTCCTCCTCCTCCTCCGCCTCCCTGTCCTCCTCCGCCTCCGCCTCCTCCTCCTCCTCCTTCTCCTCCTCCTCCTTCTCCTCCTCCTCCGTTTCCGTGTTAGCATGGCTTCTGTCTGTCTGCTAGCCGCTTGCCCCTCCCTAGACGCCACGGCCAGAGTTCCGCCCCGAAAACCTGGTCAGGACGCACCTAGGGTGAGGTCGTCAGGCGAGCAGCGGTCCAAGGGCTCCTCGTACAACCCCGCGATCTAGTGCCCGGCGGAGGAAGAGATGCCATGGCCCTCCGCCCCCCCGCCCTCCTTCTCCGAGGGTACCCACAAGTTACCTGCACCTATCCTGGTCAGACCGAACCTGGGCACAGCATCGGCACATGTGCCTTCCCACACAAGCCGGCAGGGTTGAAACACCAGTCCTGGTCCCAAAATAAGGGCCTGACCAGGATCGGTGTAGGTGAAGAGTTGGCGTCCTCCTACTCTCGTCGCCACGGCTTGATATGCGCCCCGACCGCCTTCATTGGCCTGCTTATCACGCTCGTGTCCGCTTCACCATATTGCCAGCGCACCTCTGACGTGCACGGCTTCTGTCTGTCTGTTTGCCCCTCCCTCATCGTCACGGCCAGACTGCCCGAAGATATCCATATCGATGCCGTTGCCCCCCTCGGAAAGCACCAGCTATACACCTAGACCTAGCGTGGACAGGCCGATCATTGGCCCAGGGACGGTTCATATGCCTTCATGCCCAAGGCACGAGGGCGTCTACACCATAACCTGGGCCCAGGACTAGCACCACCAGGATCGGGGCAGGCGTATAGTTGGCGTCCTCCTGCTTGAATCGGCGCGGGGGGGCTGTGAGGGGATAGGGGGGTATCAGCGGATGCCGAGGTGGGTCATATCGGGCCTCATCTGGCTGATGTGTGAGTTACGAGTTCCATGCGCGGCTTAGGGGGGTTAGAAAACTGCGTAGCCCAGATCGTTACCCCCAGCGCAGATCCGAGAACCCTGCATGGGGAGAACGGGTCCTGAGGGAAACGGGTCCTGGACCGGCTTCCCCCAGCAGGAGATCTTCATCCCGAGTCGTATTCTGCCCGTCCCGGGGGCCCGTGGGGAGCCCCGAGAGCCTGAAAACAGCAAAAAGCCTGAGGACCCGTTTCCCTCATGACTCCTGTTGCCCATGCTTCTTCCGTCGCCGTGGCCGGACGAACTCCGAGAAAGGCCCGCAGGGGCAGCGGCCTCCCGCAGGTGCCCCTCGCGCACATGGCCGGCGGCGCCTGCGCGCCGGCGGAGCCGGGGGCCCCCGCGGCGCACGTGGCCCTCGTCGTCGGAGTGGACTGGGACCCGGAGGAGATCCTGGCGGCCGCGGGGGTGAGGCTCAGAGGGGGAAGATCGACCACGCGCAGAGGGGGGGGGAGGGGGAGGGGCGCGGGCCTTGTCTACAGATGCTGGGCCGGCGCCTTGAAAGAAGCAACCTCCTTCTAAGAAGCCTCCCCCCCTCCCCCCACCCCCGTGTGCGCGCCGCCGGGAGAAGGTCCCGACACCGCTGCCCTTCCCTCGTTTTTGTTCGCCTTTTTCTGGGCCTCCTGGGGCCCCGAGCTCCGACGTCGCGAAAGCATGGAAGCATCGTCACGCATCACGACCAGAGCTCTGCGCCATTTGTCGATCTACACTCGAGGCGATGCTTAAGAAAACCAAAGTTTTCGGCCAGAGTCTCGATTATTCTTAATGTTTCAATGTAAATCCCAAGATTTGAATATACATTCTGGGTTTTTATTAGAATTCTGAGACTATGAATTTCTTAACCCATGATTTCTAAAGCATTTCGCAGGGTGTACATCGGTCTGTGAGGGTACCTGGGCCCGAAACTGGGTGAAAACGCGCAGATCTCATGATCTTCGGGCTTCCCGGAGGCCTCTGCCGCCGTGACCAGGTTCGAGTGGCGGTCTCGGTGTCTTTTGCTTTCCCCAAGAGGCCGCCACCGCCGCTCGTCGGCACCAGGCCATCGGCATCGTCAGACCTGTCCCACATCCCCACCTTGGCCATTACTCATTGGCTCCAGATATCCCCGAGTGGGGTCCGAGTATAGGTGGGGTCGGCGGATCGGGCCGCATCGCCGATGCATCGGCGATGCGGCGCCATCCTCTGACCCCATCTACTCGGACCCAATGTGGGAGACCTCTCTTGACGCCAGCAGCATGCCCCCTCGAGGCGGAGGCGGGCGCGCGGAGTTCGACGGAGGCGGCACTTACAGCATGCACATATGATACGACATCTCTGTATACGGGAGCTTTGGGCACATTCGACGCCGGTCCTTGGGCTTCCCGAGGCGCTCAAGTGCTCCCGTGGGTCCCGATAGCCATCGTGGGATAAGAGGCTTGCGTCGGGCACCAACTCGCAGGCCGAGTTTGATGTGATGTGCCAATTGTATTGTCACCTCGGGCTAATTAGGTCGGACACCGTGGCCAAAGTTTTCCCAATTGGGCGTGGGGATGGGTCTGGTATCTTGCCGGAGGCAGTTCATGGAGGAAGCCGCTGGCAACGCGAGGGTCAACTCCGAGTCCGTTGAGCAGCGGCTGAGAGAGGCCGAGAGGAGCTGGAGAACAAAACACAGCAGAGAGCATAGACACATGAGGCGTCTCAGAAATGGCCTCGCCTTCGAGGTATCGAGAGGTTGGCATCTCTACCCTGGCGGAAGATGGCGGACGGACGGCGGAAGCCAGCGGAAGTAAAACGGGTGTGGTTTCCCCTACAGAGGCTTGTGGACGTAAAACAATGCGCCGCCCACGAGAGGTGAGTTCAGGGTTTCCGAAACCGACCATCCTTGCTCGAAGGTTCTGCGCTAGACCCCTTGGCGATTCCGCTCCTGGCGCGTGCCGCGCGCCAGGCAGGCGGGTTCAGCGCCGACCCAGACCCCCTCACGTCGGGAATACACACGATTTCGCTATTTTCATTTTCCAGGGGCCCTCACCGGGCCTCGGGACCGTCAAAGAACGACTCGGGGTGAGAAGCCATCCCCGAGAAAGGGATACGGCATAGACATACGGTCAGGAGCTTTGGCTCGGCGTCTCGCGCCGCCGGTTCTGGCCCACCGCGCCTGCGCGCGACACGCTAACCGCGTCCCAGTCCCAAAGCGTCCACGTCCCGACATGCGGAGCGGGGCGACACGCTCTCCGCTTGCAACACATCCAGTGTCACTGGGGCCGCCACCGCGACACGCTTGGTAAAAACCTTCCGACCGTAACTGGTCGAGGGTCCGCACAGATCTCTTAGATTTGCGCTGTGCTCATTACGGCGCCTCTGGCGCAACCCCTGGCGCGCTCCGCGCGTCAGGAAGGCGCTTCCAGCGCCGATTCTAGATTCTCTCGGGGGCCTTCGAACGTTTATGCTTATGCGGTTCCCAGAGATCCGTTGTTTCAGTTACGGGGTCCCTAGAAGTCCTGGTGGCCAGCTTTTCACCCTGAGTTGTTCCTTGACGGTCCTAGAGCTTGGCGAGGGCCCCCAGTTTCGAAAACAGCGGAAAAGACCTGGTCGGGGATGTGAATTGGTTCGGTTCCCCCGTCCGACAGGTCGGGGATGTGAACTAGATTGGAAGACGAGAGCCCCCGACCCGCCCCGCACACCCTGAAAACCGCGGCCACCAGGCCCCGAGGCATCCTGGTGCTCCCTGGGGACGTCGCTTCGCGTCTTCGACGCATGACGCATACCGCGTCCGCCGGGCCCCAGGGGACTCGTTGCTCCCTGGGGATCCCGCCTCGCGTCTTAGGGTAGGGATCGATCGAAGCAACGCATTGCACGGGGTCTCCAGGGATGGTGACCCTGTCCCCGTGGCCGACTTCTTATGCAGACTCGTTTTGTTGACAGTCCTGCAGCCCGGCTGGGGCCCCCCGTCTTCAATGTTGTTCAACGCGTTGGAGGCCTCAGACATGATTTGCCGATCTGATTTCTTGAGCCTGCGGCCCGAGACATTCCGACCGCTTCCCGTGGGGTTGTTCTTCGTCCCGGATTCAATTTTGATAGTCCCAGGGCCCAGAAATTGCCTCCGAGGGCTGAACTCGAAGAAAAAGCGCCGATTGAAGCAATGAGATCGTCGGAGATTTGTGTAGTCAACTGTTGTTCAATGCGTTGAAGGTCTAAGTGGTTGTCCTCTTCCCAGGAGGCTGGAGGACAACGTCGCTGCCGCCAAGCGCTCGGTCTACCACGCGGCCTCGCTCGGGCTGGAGGAGGCCGAGAGGGCCAAGCGGTCTCTGCGGGCAGCCCTGGCGGACGCCCGGCCCCGGGGAACACCAACCGACCACCACACCGACCCTGGCTCGGCCAGTCTTGGGCCCAAGATCGGCGCGCATCTTGTAGCGGGCCCTAGAACGCCCAGGGCAGTTGTTGCTATTATTGCTGTTGCTGCTGCTGCGGTTGCTGTTGATGTTGCTGTTGTTGTTGTTGCTGCTGCTGCTGTTGTTGTTGTGGTTGTTGTTGGTGTTGCTGTTGCTGCTGCTGCTGCTTCTGCTGCTGCTGCTGCTGCTGCTGCTGCTGCTGTTGTTGTTGTTGTTGTTGAACATTATTAATTCTAAAGAATAATTATTGTTGGGACCCCTGGTGCACGGCCCCCCCGCCGCGCCTAGGCCGCAGCTACATTTTCATCATTTTTTCGCGAAAGCTTCAGAAAAGTGGATGGGGTCCAGATCCGGTTGTTTTGTTGTAATCCGTTTTCCCTTGCAAAAAACACTATAAAATGACATTTCTTGTTCTAATATAATCAAATTTCAAGAATCCCTTGCAAAAAATAAGGTAAAGTGGACATTCGCGCGCGCAAGACGAAATCCTTCCAAAAGCTTAGTGTTCGGAGCGATTTTAACATAAAAACATCAAAAAACCAATGGTTTTTCAACAAAAAAATGTCAAAATCTCATCCCGCGCGCTCTTGCGGATTCGTAGGAAAACCAACACTTTTTAAACATTTCTGTCAAACGGGCTTTTGCGAGCAACTTTTTCGAACTTCTGCGACAACGGTTGCGCACCTGCCAGGGCCATCATCCCTGTCAAATAATACCATCCGCGCATGTGCCCAGCATGGCACAATTGCACCATGCTGGGCACATGCGCGCCCCGAATAAGTGACCAAGTTCTGTGGGTGTGTACCCCACGCCAGTGTAGTAGCCACGGTCGTCCGCACGCCACGAAGTGAAGTGTCCCAACGTCATAGGGCGGGAAGCTGGGTTTGGGTGGTCGCGAAGAGTCGTTTGGATATTTGGTAGAGCTTGTAATGCCCCCCCACGAAGTGGGGGTATTGCCTGGTGTCGTATGAAAACCCTGGCACTGGGGAGAACACCACGCGTTCGGGTAAAATGATTGTTGTTGTTGTTGTTGTTGTTGTTATTGTTGTTGTTGTTGTTGAACTCTCACTACTGCAGAGTAAGTATTGTTGATTCCCCCTCCGTTGCACATTGTAGTTTTTGAATTGAAGTCCCCATCCTGGCGCTCGCACCTTAAAAAAAGAAGAAGGGCAAGCCTTCCTCCTCAAACTATGCTGTTGGCCCCCGGGTTACAACAACGGATTCAGCGTGAGACTTTCTTACAATTTAGCCAGGGCGCCTGAGACTTCCTCGCATTTTATTCAGAAAACGCGCTCTCGCTCGGGATTGTTTTACAATTTATGCCGGGATCGCTCTCTCGGCGCTCTGGAGTCGCGCTCTCGCTGGAGACTTGCTTGCAATTTACTTCAGAGTAGCGCCCCTGCGTTGGAACTTCCCGTAATTTGCGCAAGCGCCGCGCTCCCGACAATCAGGCACCGAGGAGTCGCGCTCACGCTTAGGACTCCCTCACATAATCTCGCTGCCCTTCGTGGCCCCGTTGCAGCCCTTCGTGGCCCCCTCGCTGCCCTTCGTGGCCCCGGTGCAGCCCTTCGTGGCCCCGTTGCATCCTTTCGTGGCCCCACATATGTATGCCCTTCGTGGCCCCCGCTCGTTCGCGCCCGTCGTGGCATGCATGCCCGTCGTGGCCCCGCTGTCGCCCTTTGTAGCCCCATCGCTGCCCTTCGTGGCCCCGTTGCCTGCCTCAGTGGCCCCGTCCTTGCCCTACGCGGCCCAATATACGTATTCCCCTCGTGGCCCCCTCTCGTTCGCGCCCGTCGTGGCCCCGCTGTCGCCCTTTGTGGCCCCCTGGCTGTCCCACGTGGCCCAGTTGCTACCCTCAGTGGCCCCGTCGTTGCCTTCTGTGGCCCCGCATTATCTGCCCTTCTTGGCCCACGCTCGTTCGCACTCTTCGTGGCCCCATACGCATTCCCGTCGTGTCCCCGCTGTCGCCCTTCGTGGCCTACTTCGTGCCCTTCGTGGCCCTGCTGTCGTTCTCTCTATCGCTCTCGCTTTCGCTCGTCGTAGTCGTCGTCGCCGTCGTCGTCGTTGTCGATGTCGTGGTTGTTGTCGTCGTCGTCGTGGTCGGTCCCCTGTCTGTCCTTCTTGGGGTCGGGTTGTCGCCGATCAACGCTGCCGCTGGCCAGGCCGACGGTCCGCGGCCGCCCCGCCGCTTGTCGGGGCCCGGCCTGCAGGGAAGGCAGGTATCCCCCCAAAAAGGGGTACGATCGAAGACGAAGAGGGCGGGTATCGAGGGTTTGGGAGATACGCGTTACCGGACACTCGAGCAGATAAGAGCGAACAGTCTTCAACTAATTGCAGTTGTTGTTGTTGTTGTTGTTGTTGTTGTTGTTGTTGTTGTTGTTGTTGAACATTATTTATTCTAAAGAATAATTATTGTTGGGCCCCCTGGTGCGCGCCCCCCCTGCGCCGCCTAGGCCGCAGCTACATTTCATCATTTTCGTGAGGAAGCCTCAGGTAAAACGATGTGATCCAGATCCGGTTGTTTTGTTGTAATTCGTTTTCCCATGCAAAAAACACTATAAAATGACATTTCTTGTTCTAATATAATCAAATTTCAAGAATCCCTTGCAAAAAATAAGGTAAAGTGGACATTCGCGCGCGCAAGACGAAATCCTTCCAAAAGCTTAGTGTTCGGAACGATTTTAACATAAAAACATCAAAAAACCAATGGTTTTTCAACAAAAAATGTCAAAATCTCATCCCGCGCGCTCGCGCTCTTTCGGATTCGTAGGAAACCAACACTTTTTAAACATTTCTGTCAAACGGGCTTTTGCGAGCAACTTTTTCGAACTTCTGCGACAACGGTTGCGCACCTGCCAGGGCCATCATCCCTGTCAAATAATACCATGCGGGACACATTCGTTTTTTCTTCGCGCGCGCACGCCGTCGTCGTCGGCCGCGGGGCCCTGAATAGTAGCCACGGTCGTCCGCATGCCACGAAGTGAAGTGTCCGAACGTCATAGGGCGGGAAGCTGGGTGTGGGTGGTGGCGAAGAGTCGTTTGGAAATTTGGTAGAGCTTGAACCGGCCCCCCCACAAAGTGGGGGTATTGCCCGCCTCCTATGAAAACCCTGGCGCTGGTGAGAACGGAGTGTCCCCACGTGCTAGTAATTGTTGTTGTTGTTGTTGTTGCTGTTGTTGTTGTTGTTGTTGTTGAACTCCCACTATTGTAAAATAAGTATTAATGATCCCACCCTCCGTTGCACATTGTATTTTTCAATTGAGGCGCCCCTCCAGGCGCTCGCACCGTGTGTTTTATCAGGGAGCGTCTTTCTCGTCAAATTGTGCCCTTGGCCCCCGGTTTACGACAACAGCGGCTCCCGCTTGATATTTTTCCGAAATTCACTCCAGTCCCCAGCTCCCGCCTAAGACTTCCTCGCAATGTATTGAAAAATCGCGCTCCCGTCTGAGACTTCTTTGCAATTTACTCAGGCGCCGCGTTCTTGCATTTCAGGAATCGCGCGTTCCCTGGGGACTTCTCCAAATTTGCTTTGGAATCGCTCTCTCGCTGGAATTGTCTTGGCTAGTCGCGCAGAGCTCACGAATATATATATATATATATATATATATATATATATATATATATATAGATACCCACCAAAAGTGGCATGATCGAAGACGAAGAGGACGGGTACCGAGGGTTCGGGAAATGCACGCGGAATGACACGGGAGCAGATAAGAGCAAACAGTATTAAAGTTATTGTTGTTGTTTTTGGATTCTCTTTACTGGAGAACAATTATGGTTGATCCCGGACTCCAGTAACATGTGTGCAGTTTTCTTTGAAGTGCCCCACCCGGGGCTCGCACCCTGTTTATCAGGGGCAGTCTTCCTGCCCAAACGGTGCCCCTGCCCCCCGGTTTGCAACAACAGTGGTTCCGGCTGGTACTTCCTTGCAATTTACTGAGGAGTCGCGCTCTCGCTAGGAGCATCCTTGCAATTTATTTACGAAACGCGCTATCGCCTGTGAGGTCCTCCAATTCATTGAAGCGCCACGCCCTCGCCATTCAGGAATCGCGTTCTCGCCTCGGACCTCCTCATCATTGACGCAGGTGTCGCGCTCTCGCCCGTGACCCTGGCGATTTACGCAGGGTTCGCGCGTTTTTCAAGTGAAGGGCCCCTCCAGGGGCTCACTGCGTTTTTACTCGGGCAAGTCTGCCTGCTCAAACTATATATATATATATATATATATATATATATATATATATATATATACACCCTTGCCCCCGGTTTACAACAACAGCGGCTCCCGTCTGACATGTTTTGGCAATTTATAGAAGAATCGCGCTTTTGCTAGGGATATCCTTGCAATTTATCCAAGAATCGTACTCTTCCCTGATACTTTTTCGCGAATTATTTAGGCGTCGCGCTTTCGACATTCAGGAGTCGCGCTGTCGCTTGGGACTTCCTCGCAATTGATTCATGCGCCGCGCCCTCGACACTCAAGAGTCACGCTCTCGCTTTGGATTTCGTCACGAGATTTATTTTGACATCGCGCTGTCGTTCAAAACGCCCTCGCGATTCATGCAGGACGCATGCTTCAGCAACCCGCCTGCTCGACCTGGCCGCCTGGGCTCGCCTGTCAGAGTCTGCCCGACCGATTTGCCCGTCTGGTTCTGCCACGCGCTTTCTGCTTCTAGCCCCCCTCCTGCTACTCTCTCTCTCTCTCTCTCTTTCTTTTTCTCTCGTGTTCCATCCTCCTCTCCCCCTCTAGTCCATTCCTTCCATCCGTCCTCTCTTCCCCTGCCTTGGATGCTGCACGACATGCACGATGCAGGTAAGAAATATGTACCCCAAGAGGACACGATCGACGAGGACGAGGGTGGGTATCGAGGGTTCGGGATATACGCGTTGAGTGGCACGCGACCAAACAAGAACGAACAGTTTTAAAAGGGAGAAAGTTTGG